TTGTTCTGACTGTTGCCTCATCTTTGTTGCCACATTTATGACGTTTTGACCATTGTACACTCTGGTGACGGGAATTTTGAACTGAACCCTTTATTTTGTCCACCGGGGGGTAGAGTGTTCTAATTCCACATGCCATGCCTCTTCCAGATAACTCAATATCAGTTACCTCCCTTTAATTCAACTCTCCAAGTTTTGTTCACCTTAGTTGTAGAACAATTCTTTGGGTCAAGTCATTGTATTCAACCAATCCTTTTATCCACTGGGCCACATGTACTCTAGGACCACAGCATATGAATTTTTCAGAACTAATATCTCAGTAACCATTTTTTTACCAGAGCTCATATTGCAATTCTGCTATTATTGTTTTTCTCTAGCACTGTATTACTGATTCACATATTGTATTCATTTCTATCCTGGTCCAACTTAGTAAATTTTGGGGGTCTAACATATGCACTGATTCCTTAAGTTTTCATATTTTCCAGCGATGCTCTGTATTATTTCACCCTTTTCCACAGGGGGCAGTGATCACCCTTTTCCCACCATATGCGATCAGCTATGCATGATTTTTCTATTTCCTGTCGGTGTTCCTGCAGTTTTACCTTATATATTTCTTATCGCAGATGCATGGGATGGCGTACACACAGTCCTTAATGATGTTCCCCTCTATAGAAAGTCTTACTTGGAAAAGGTGTCTGCAAACTGTTGAACCACTTTCGAAGGTTGTCCTGATGTGATATGGACCACTGATCTTTTGTATTTTTTCCGATTATCGCTTCACATAGGGTAGGCAAACCAAGGCTGTTTTCCGAGCATTGTTATCCTCTTGCACCCTTTTATCCCAGTTTGTTGGAGGTGCCGTCATGTACCAAGCGTACGTGTTACATTGTAGGGTACTGCTTATATTGACCATTTCTTGCTCATATGTTTCTGGGTCACCACTTATGACTTTTGCTTGATGCTGTAAGCAGCAGACAATCCCTTTCTTTACACCATATGGATGGTGGGAGTGGAATTTGAGGTATTGTCCGGTGAATGTTGGCTTGCAGTATAAAGATCTCTTGAACTTATGCTCTGTTCAAGATATTAGTCCAGGAATGCTAATTTGTAGTTTTCTTTATTGTGAACTGTATCAATAACCTGATAGTGATGCTGACTTTCTGTACACAAACACTTTGGAATAGGATCAGACATATCTGCAAGATGAAGAGTTAGCAAAAGCTAACATATACATAGAATGCTTTGAAGAAATGCCATTAGAATCCATATCACTAAAGCCAACTCTATGGCTGAGTTATGTAGAGGACACCTTCATACTCTGGCCACACCAGGAAGAGGTCCAGCTACTACTGGACCATGTGAACTCAATAAAACCATCGAAGAAAGAAAACAACAAATTAGTATTTCTGGATGTACTAAAGTTAAGACCGCAGGAACAATATAAAGCAATATATCATATGGATGGAAAAGCGGGATCCCTGCCACCTGTGGGATGAGATTGAAATAATTGACAGAACATCACTGGAAAACATTAAAATTTAAGGAATTGAAGTGTATGCTAGGCCATAAAAATCTCCGAAGCCAGCCAAGCATAGAAATGAATACATTATAGAAACCAGTAATACAAAGTGCTAAAGAAAAACAATAACAAAATTGCAATATGAACTCTGGGAAAAAACAGTTACTGAGACATTAAGTTTAAGTCCCAAAAATTCATATACTGATGTTCTCCAGTGGATAAAAACATTGAGTGAATCCAGGAGTTGCGAGTTCAAGGGAGATAATGATACTGAGAGACCAGTAAGAGACAATCTAACCCAATGAATGAAATCAGTAGATATATGCCATGCTTAAGCGATCATGTATCTTTCGATACATGACTGACGAGGCAGATCTTTTCCTGCAGTAGGTTGCCATTTCTTTCTGCAGTAGACCAGTTGCCATCTAAAGCTATAGAACCTGATCTGTCCTACTATTTACCCATAGCTGAGGGGAGAAGAGGATTCATACTTTTCCCAATGGGTAATAGCACCTAAGTGAATGTAATGGATTCACCTGGAATTTGAATTTAATGGTTTCAATTCAAAATTCTAATCACCTGAAGGCAGCAGAAACGCTGTGAATATGGCAACAAAGATGAGTCTGAAGAATGTAAATAATTACAATACCTCATCTCAGAAATATAGACAGATATTCAAGGTTTACAAAATTTGCCTGATTTAATAAAAATTTTTTAAAAAAAGGTGGTGGGGGGAGTGAACAAATATTTAATCTTTTTGTTTTATCCTTCCTTTTCCCTATCACACATGGTGACAGAGGTGGGGACAGTTCTTTCAGAAAGCCAAATTTGTAAAATTTGGCTTTAAAAAATGTGTTGGGATTTCAGACTTAAGGGAGAGAAAAAGTAGAAAAACACAACATTTTAAGCAAAACTCAACACAGAAAGAAAGAAATGATAACGAATTCTTACTTGTAACTGGCAGAATCTTGTAGTGGCAATCGGTGTTAAAATTGCGACAAAAAACACTATATGTTGCCTACAAGTAATTCTCCTTGTAGAAGTAATGACAGAAAATAAAGAGTTAGGACTCTTATGAACAGTTTCACTAACACATCCAGTCAGCTTCAAAAGAGAAAGCAAAGTTGTAATGAAGTAACAAAAAATACAGCCTTTGGCTAACTATTTTATCTTTTTTTTTTTTTTTTTTAAATATCTCTTTGAACACATGCAAATTTTGACTCCAACTGGAACTCATTTCTATAAATTTTCTGTGAAGACAAAATATCTTTCATTATATTTTCATCACATACAGCTGAATTCCCTCATTCCTCCCTTTTGACAAGAGTTTTGCTAAGGTAAGCACACAAAGTTTCTACAAATGTTATTTAATAATTTCAATAAAATGACTAGATGATAATGTAGCCTTTTGTCTCTAGATAACTTTTGGGTGCTACTTTCCTATAGGTTTTGCCACTTTCACTTAATTCTTGAGGGTTGTAGAATTTTTTGCAAGGCTTGTCCCAGAAACACATCAAATTAGATTATGGGCTTAACTATGAGGCAGAAAAAAAAAAAGCTTCAAGCAGGACCAACTCATCCAATTGGTGGATATTCCAGCTAGTAAAATTTTCCATTTTTCCTTTTATTTTCTTGTTTTAATAACATTTATATATTGTTACACTTTCTTACTAAGTATTACAATGAAGCAAAAACAGAATTCCCTAAAACCTGAAAGAGATTTAAAGAAAATTTGAAACAGAAAATTGGTCCCTCTACATCTGCTCTGGTGCTTCATGTAATTAGAGATTCTTGACAAAATCCAAAGATTCTACAATGTTATTAGCCCTAACCTGGCATCTCTGCTTCAGTCATTTTTCCACACCACTGTAATGTTCTTTGTGCCTTTTCTATAAATATTTTCATAGAAATTGTTCTGATGAGTTTTAACACAACTGAAATTGCTAGATGTAACCATAAATTGTATGCTAAGTTTCTTCTGTCACATTTCTCACTTTTAAAACTCTTCTGGCTTCTTGCTTTCAAGTCAATTTTGATCTTCAAAAATGTAAATGCAGTATATCAATCATTATCTTCCGTCTTAATTTCTGTTCTTTGCTTGTTCTCTCTCCTTAATGTCTTTTTCTCATTCTTTCACACTCAGTAACCCCTTGTGACTTAGTGGCTTGCTCGAGATGAAATGATTAAAAAAAGTAAAATCTGTAAAAAAAAATCGTCCATATTACTGTCAACACAAAATAATTCTTTATTAAAGGATTTTAAAAATTAAATATACTTTACTGAAACGTTAAGGAAGACTTGGTAAATTTGCAGATAATGCCCCACCCCAGTGACCATTTTTTAAAAGATGCATTATTCCTGGTGTAAAAAAAAAAAAAAAAAAAAAAAAAAAAAGCAAGAAAAATTGAGGAAACTCTACAGTCTCTACAGTTTAGGAGATATTGCCAATCTTAGTTGGGTCCTGTGTACAGCCTGGCCGCCTCAGACGGGGAATCTGTGAAGGCACTCTGTATAGTGAGTGATTGACTTCAGGAAAAGAAATCGAGCAACATATTGCTTCAACTGTGTTTGAACTGATGGTGCGTATAACCATGATCTGGTAATCACACATACGCCGACCAGCAATCGTACCCGGGACCAAACCAAGATTGGTAACATCTCCTAAACGATGGCGTTTCTTCAATTTTTATTGCTATTTTTGTAATAATCAGGCTTCTTTTTTTTTTTACAATAGGAATAATGCATTTTTTTAAAATTGGCCACAGGGGCATTATCTGCAAATATAACGAAGAGTCTAATTTAAAATTTAATTGACGTTATTTGAAACAAATATTACTTTTTTAAAAATTTAACTTTAGTTAAATTTAAATATCGCAAAAGCTTTTTATTTAAACAAAATGTTTTCTGATGTTGAATGACTTAGCTCTCTAAAAATAAATTTAATTTCTGAAAACGTCCGGAAAGTTTCAATAAAATCCGTCGCGTCAATCATCTGATTTTTGCAAGAATTTATCAAATTTAAGGTCCCCAAAATAAAGTCTTTTAACTAAATTTTCCAAGTTTATAAAAAATCCTTTCTTTCATCTTAGTAATAACGCAAAGCTTTTTACGATAAAATTTCGTTATTATTAAGTTTGGGGCATTTTTCATCCTGTATCCTCCTTTTGGCAGATTTCTGAAGGTACTTATTGCAATTTAGATTTTAGATTCATCTTGTTTTAGTAGTTATATACTCAATTATTTGTACTACCGAAAATTCTCGTACGCCTTTTGCAATAATAAAAACTTTCCTAAACATTAGAAAAAAAATGGATAAATTAAAAAAATAATAATAATAATAATCCGTCAAAATTGTTTCTAATTCAAAAATCGACCGGCGCCATTTCAACCGCGTGGTTAGTCAGCTCGTTTCTTTCTTATTTGTTAAGATTTAAAAAACGAAACAATCTCGGAATGTCAGTCGCATAATAAATATCATACTCACATTAAAATCTGCACTTCAATAAGTGTAAATATAATCCCACGGAGAAATATGATTCTTCCTTTTTTTTATATTTTTTTTTCGATTGTCGTAACTAGGAAAACTTTATTAGACTCGTGGTCATTTTAATCACTTCCTGTTGGAGAGCGACAATAGGTTTCCTCTTCCGGCCTCATTTTTTTTTTTTTTTTTTTTTTTATTTTTTTATCTGCAAAGTCTTTTTTTTTTTATATAAGCACTTTATAAACGCGCTATTTTAACACAAATGAACTTATTCTATCATAAATTAAAATAAACCTCACTTTTAAAATAATCCAACTCTGTGCCACTCTAAGTCCAAGTCTCGAATCTGCGTGAGCTCGTCAGCCATATTGAGAGGTTTTGATGGACGTACTCTCGCAGTCTCTGGTTACAAAATGGTAAAAAAAATTTTCTTTTCTTGTTTGTCACTTATTTGTCTATCTAAGACATTGACACTGGCCCGAAGAAGAATGTTTTTATCCTTCGAATCCTAGTGTTACAATGTTTACGCATATATATTTACTGTGTTGGGTTTATTTGTGTTTTGTAAACAACCTCAGCTTTGGGGGTGGGGTAACATCATCATCATTATTATCATTATCATGTGATGGCGGCTATATAACGATTCCTTTTTTTTTTTCCTTCACAGGATCTCTGTCTAAATATTGACAGATTCTTCCCCCTTTTTTTATTTTGCGGTGTCTCCAGAAGTCTATAAAAATAGATTCTACAATCCTTTAGTTTTCTTCCACGCTTTCTTTCATTAGATCATTGATTAGTTTTCTTTTTTTTAATTTTCGTCCTTTCTTTACATATCTCGATCCCATGTCTCTACTTTCTGCCTCTTTTCATGTCTATAATAATTGCAATTGGGTTTTTCATGTATCTATAAAAAATGATGACAAATTCTTGATATTTAATTATCATTATTTCTACCAATATGTTAATCGATCTTTAATACTTTTAAATAGCATTTCTATTAAATGTGAATGAATTTCACCTTAAACTTTTTTAACCATGTCGTCCCCACCTCTTTTTGTGTAAAACAATTTGTTGGAACCATTCTCTTTAAATTTTGTCTTTTTTTTCTTTTTTTTTCTAACTATTCCTATATCAGAATGTTTCTCGGTAAATAATGATTCTAAATTCTATTCCATTGAAAGAATTTTATTTTTTTTACAATTTTCAATGCTATCTCAAAAGGAAAATTAACCTCGTCTTCTCCTTTTTAATCTGATTAAATTTTTTTTTATATGCGATTAAGATTTATTTAGTCTTACTCTTCTTTTAAATGGAAATTCGATTGAGAAATCAAATTTTTTTTTACCCCGCCTCTATTAAAAATTCGTTTGATTTGGAAATTTTAAACTAAAATAATATTAAAAAAGCACTTTAAAAAGTAAGATTGCAGAAAAAGATCATTATAAAAACACAAAACAAACGAATTTATTTGGATAATGGCAATGCCTGACTTCACTATAACAAGAAAGCATGTAAAAATGCTTAACAAAATTAAAATGTCACAAAAACTTTGTCATATTCAACTCAAGTGGGCTTTCGATTTCTACCAACATTTAGAAGTCAGAACCTACTGGTGCAATAATAGCAATATAAAATGTTATCAATTTATTGTGTTATGTAGACCTTTAAGGAAAATTACCAAAATGGGCAAAATGTATTTTAAGTTGACAAAAGAAAAAAATTATTCAACGTTTTAACTTTTACATTTTGTACAAAGTAACCGAAGCTGGGCGTGTTAATCTTACTTAGTTTAATAATGAGTATTGATTGAGTGTGAATTTGTAGTGTCTCTATAAAAAAAAAATAAAATAAAAAGGGGGGGGTTGCTTGCACGAGTTTCAAAAGTGAAAACCACCCGTGTGTGGGCGTGTATCAATAAAATGATTGCTAGGAAAATATATGTAGAGAGTAATTAATTTATCAATAATGATTTTTTTTTTAAAATATAGCAATAAACTTGAACTATAAGCAAAAATCATGGCGAGGTGTAAGAAATCAAGTTAGCTTATACTTAAAAACTGTTTTTTACAATTAATCTGATCATGTTGATTTATTTTTTATTAGTCGTCATTTATTCATTTCGAATTATCTTTTTATTTTACAATTAAAAAAAATACCCCAAAGTTCTCATGATGTCAACAAGGATAATAAAATCTCTACTAAAAAAAACTTAAATCTTGTTAGTTAATTTAGTTCTGTATTTCCACAACAAACATACCCGCCCCATTTCTTCTTTTGTACCATAAACTATCTAGGATTAAATCAGTTGATATTGTTTTTATTCCCTCTCGACAATAACACCCTACTTCTCGACTTCATAATTTATTTCTGGGATTTTTTAAAGTTTGCTTTTTTTATTACCACTTTTCTTTACATTTACAAACACACACACACACACACACACACACACTATTCGTGCATTTTTGGTGGGTTGGAAATGCTTAAATTCCTAACAGCAATAATGATTTTTTTCTGTGTAAAAAACTTTACAGAAAGTGAAAGTCTTTTACTACACATAAAAAGACTCACTTGCTTCAAATTCGTTCGTAATTTATTTTTAAATTAAATAAGCCAAGAAGCGGTTTCAATTTATTGTTTCCATTGAAATTGTGATAGTTTATTTGGGTGCTGAGAAAATACATAACCCTCTCTTCTCGCTTTTCTCTTTTTTTAAACGACGACACACAAGAAGGATAGTCCATTGATCATCACATTTAAATTGTGATAAATGTTGCAATCGAAATTATTTTTTAAAGAGAACAGGATGAAGGTGTTTTTTTCGTTGTTTTTTTTTTTTTTTTTTTGCTAAGTCATTGAAACTATTTTGTAATTTAAAGTTTAAAATAAATAAATCCATCTGATCTACCTACACTGCCAAAAAGAATGGTATGAATGCATTTAATTTAAATTACTATGATTTTCATTTTTCATTCATGGATCGAGCTAACCACAGCTCAGTCATGCTGCAAAAGATATCGCATTATTGGGAATCATTGACTTATTCATTGGCCATGAAAATTGGGCTCCAAGTGACACTCCCACCGAAGTCCGCATTAAAGAAGAGAGAGAGATATATAATAAAGATATAGAGATAGAGATGATAGAGAACCAATTTTTAAAAAGATTAAAAAATTTTAAAATCTACATTTTGATAAACACTGATTCAGCCCAATTACTCAAAAATTTTTCATTTTGCAGAAATATTTGTAATAAGAAAAAACACTTTTATCAGTTTAAAGTTTAAGAAGGCGTAATAATTTATTTATTTACTTTGAATTAAATTAAAATTATAATAAATTTGATAATGTGACAAAAACTGATCAGAGAGCCTATCATGTCAACAGTCACTGAACTATTTAAATTTTCCCCTTTTTGAAAAAAAAAAAACTATCTAGCAATTTAATAAACTACCTTAGAAATTAATACTGAACTCGTGAACTGATTTAGAACAGTCTTTATTACACATATGCTGCATATGATATGCATGCGTGCATAAAAAAAAAAAAAAAAAAAACGAACAAAAAAATTTCCTTTGCTCATATGAGTGCTTATTATTTGAAAGTGTTCATAATTTTTCCTTCTCTCTTATAGTTTTAACTTTGATTATCCACACCCCGATCTTTGCAGGAGCTGCTTTTGTTTGGATCAAGAATGCAATCTTAATATTGTGTAAAGTAACTCTTTTTTAAAAAAAATGTAAACAAGAACAATCTCATTTGCTCTGTGCATAAGAAAACTTTCTTCAATGAAGTACATGTTTGTTTTTTTGTTTTTTCACTTAAAAAAACAATTTAAAGCTGTAAATAAGAAATGGAGGTGGCTGCACACTTATCAGCTAATGACTAAAAAAAAGGAATTTGAAACAGAATCTATTAAAGTCAAGAAATTTAGTTTTCAGAATGTTTATGGATAAAATTCAAACTTTAAGGATATTCTCATTAATATTTATTTTTGTAACTTTAAAAAGTTTATTTGTAGCGGAAATGAATAAGTTTGTTGACTATTGAATTTTAAAAATTTCTATTCAAAATCCATTTGGCTCTCTACCGAATATAGATTGATAATTTTAAAATTAGAGACTTTTTTTCATTTATTAACATCCCTTTCTATTATTTTTTTTAATTCTTAGGTTCACAATCGATTTTTTTTTCTGAAAAATGTTGTCTAATGGCTGTTTTAATTTCTAAAAATTGATTATTTAATTTGAACTAACAATTACATTTCTATTAGGTCATTCTTACTTTTGTAGCTTTTATTTTAATGATTATTTTATATTGTGAGTAAATAACAACCAGCAAGGTTACCTGACAATACCCCCAAAAATACTTTTGAATCCCTACAAATTAAACTTTAAAAATGTTAACAATAAACTACATCCGCGTCCTGGGTAAGACTATAAAGTACGTCCAGCAGCAAGGCCTCTGATTAGGAGGTTTTGAGGAGCATGGAACCACCTCTTAATTGCTGGTATTCCCAGGTCCACCCTGACCCAGGGTGGTAGCACCTATTAGGGTCCCAGCTATGGGTAAATAGTTACCCCCCCCTAAAAAAAAAAACTGGGGTCAAAACACTATGAAAGGGTAAAAAAAAAAGGTTTTAATATCAGAAATACTTTGTAAAAAATTATTACCAGGTATACATTTTTGACAAAAAAAATATTACAAGCGATACATTTTTTTAGAGAAAAAATATTACCACATATAGATTTTTGAAGGAAAAAAAATATTACCAGCAATAAAGTTTTGAAGGAAAATAGGAAAATATTACCAACAATAAAAATTGTCTGCATTAAATAACCCATTGTGGTTGATATGCTGTAAAACAAAATGAACCAAACTAAAAATGTTAAGATCTGATCTACTTCGAAGAATAGGAAGCAGGCATTGATTCTAATAAATATTTCTGCATATATTTTCTCATTTCTGCTAAAAATCTTGATCATTATAATTTGTTTTTGTGACTAATAAAGCTCAAATTAAAATGTTTGAAGCTTGATATGTTTCAAAGAAATTGGTTTAATTAAATGTTAATTGTTATCATTATTTGCTTAATAAGTTAATTAATCAAAGTCTTGGTTTTATTTGTCTAACAGTTGATTACATTACCAAGTTTCTAAATGACTTTTATTAGTCTCTTCATTGTCTTTCACTTAAGCTTTTTAAACTCCACAAAATGATTTTTATTGTGTCCTTTTTTGTTTTTACATAATGTATTTTAATAGTTAGCTACTCCTAAATTTATTCTTCCAGGATGCTTAAAAAATTCTTTAAAGTTTTCTTTTGAAGAGGAGAATAATCTCCAACTTCAATCTAGAGTGGAGTCTCTGAAAGTTCTGCTTCATTTGAGCTGATTTTCTGTTCAGAGTGTACCACAGTAA